CTCCCTCTGCATTATTCTCATGAGCTACACCTTCTGATGGGATTCTGTGTGAGAACCCCGGGCTTGGTCAGGGGTCTCGTGTGGTGGTAAAGTCTCTCCTCCAACCCGTGCTTCCAAGGAAAGACTCTGCAGCCTCTTGCTGTTCGGTCTCAAGGCAGTTTATTGTGAGTTATCTACAAGATTGTCTTCTCGAGCTGCAGCTGTTTGGTCAGCAGCCCAGGCAGAGACACACACACACCCTGACACCCTCTCTGTCTGCTGTCTTCTTCTCTCCCCCTGCCCAGGGCTGCTGCTATCTTTTATATGATATATTATGTGTTACATGTTTACAGTTTTTCCCCAATACCTACTACCTATGGTACAAGGTGCTTTTCTACTCTAAACCAATCCATAAGTGCCAGCATCACCAAGAACATGGAGGCAAGGAAGAAGAAGGAGGAAGAACAGGTTCAGCCCACTTTCCTCCATCTCAGAACTTCTGACCCCCATGTACAAAGTAAAAAACCCCTGTACAGGTGCTAAAACCCCCCTGTACAATACTAAAAAATTTTCCCCTCTACTTTGCAACTACTTCTATTATACTATCTAACCCTTTGTGACTGCTTGTTCCACCTTCAAAGTTGGTAACTCATTCCATGGCTCAAACTCAAAATCACAGCTGTTTGCAGCTGCCTACCAGGGTCTAAAATGCTTCTGACAAAGGCCTGGAACCTCTAAAAATGTCTGAGAGACATTTTGAGTTCCAACAATTCTGCATCTTGTTTTGGGGATTATTAACTCAGAATTGGGAAGAATCTGAACACTAAACAAGTGCTCAAGTGTTTTCAGACCTGCACAGTTTCTTGCTCATTTTCTCTTCCTCATTCTTTCTGATGGATGCTTTCATTCCCACATTAAAAGAGGAGTAGTGTCAGCTAGAAGCTGTGTGGCTTGGGGAGCTCCCCAGAGGTGGGCAGGTTGTTAAGGGTTGCACAGCTGTGGGGTTGGGAGTGTAGGCAGGAACATGCCAGGTGCTTTCCAGCAGCTGCAGCCATTGGACAGATGCCTCAGCTTTGGGATGCAGATCTGAATGTGCAGCTCCATTTGTGTCTCCATCGCTGTTCCCACCCTGCACACCCTCAAATATAAACGCATTTCCTAATTCTCTAAGGGATGAGCACTCTGCCTCCTGTGTAATGTAATCACTACTGAAATGGAAATACCGCTGTAATACAGCAACAAGATGTCAGTGATTTCTCCTCAGCTGTCCCCACTTTGTGGAGGGTACCTGTGTAGTTTTGTCTAGTACAGCAGCTGCTGGACACTGCTGCCTTCCTGCTGCTTACTGTCCAAAATACTGTAGAGATTGAAACTGCAGTGATTTTGAAGGGGGTGTGGCTATGGTTTCAGAAGATGTGTTTTGTTGTGGTTTTTTACTTCTCACAGAAAACTAATAAGAAACTTGTTGCCTCAGGAGACCAAGTCAAGTGAATTTCTAAGAGGCTGGGCTCTGTCATATAGCAACATTTCAAGTCTCATACTTAGGGGAAATTGGCTGTAAGGATGAGGAAGCAGAGCTGTGTATCTGCAGTGGTTTTGGCTGGATTTTGCATCCCATTGCTTTCCATTGAAGCATTACATAGTGACTACTGCTGGAGACAGGATATTACACTTGCTACAATCACATGTGTGTTTTTTAGAGCTTTTGATTCTCAAGAAGTGAATTAACTCCCTTATTATAAAACTTCTGTTCTAATCCTTACAATTTAACAATATCATTAAAATGTTGTATAATGTATATGGAATTTCTAGTTTTGACTTACAAAGGCAAGTTTAAACCTGCTCATAAGTCCCTCCTGCTGTGTTTAGGAGCTGGCAGACAAGGTAAAATGCTTTGTCAGCAAAGCAAAACAAGTAATTAGAACTAAACTTTGCACCGGGAAGAAACCACTGTGTTCTTGCAACCTCAACTCATGAATTTCATATAGACAGGCTTCAGTAATTGCAGAATTATGATTTGGAATTAGACTTACAGACTGTAACTTGGTGAGTCCTACGTTTTCTTTATTTTTTTTTTTTCTTACTGTGTTTTCTCAGGTTTTTTTTGTTTTTGTTTTTGTTTTTTTTGTTTTTTGTAATTCTCATATATCTGCCTTTATCTTGTTATGACTCATACCATGCTGAAAGGTTACAATTCTGTTCACATTGTCACTTTGTTTTTTCCAGGGAAGAAACTGGTGTTGGGGCTTGAAGGGAGCTGTAGAACACATGGGAGACATTGAAACTACTTAGTGTGAGGCCAAGTGTGAGCAAAGATAGCAGACAACCTGCTGAAGTGCTGTGCTTGCACTGCCTCTGTGCTAATTGAAAAGATAAGAGAGACATGGACTAGGGACAGCATTCTCTGGCTTCTGCTGCCAAGTGGCAGGATACAGCTCTTGTCCACAATGGCTAAGCTGTCAGGCCTCTGCCAAAACCCAGGTGCCCTCATCCAGCCTGCCTGCTGGGAATGGTTCTGGCACCTGCTTCATCCTGTATAATCCAGGAGAGCTAGAAGTGGCCTGAGCCAAAACCGTGAAATGTGCTAATTGTTTAACGTTTTGGCCAGTACTGGAATCTCTGCTTTAACCTGTCTTCTTTAGTAGCCATTTAGCCCAGTTTATGCAAACTTCCTCATCAGATATGTTGGGTTTTTAAACACAGTGCCATAGAAATGTTGGTTGGAAAGGAGTTCTGGAGTGTATCTAGTTCAGTTTCCTGGAAGGAGCTGAATGCTGCTGGTCCAAAATTAAGGAATCATAAAGGTAGTTGTAGAGATTTTAATAGTTCTGTCTCATGAGGAATGTAAATGAATTTTTTAAAATTTTTCTTGCTTTCAGTGGGATTGGGCAGAATCCTTTGTCAAGTCCATAGTGCTGGGTTGTGTCTCCCTGACAAGCACAGTGTGTCACCAATCCCAGACAGACTTTGCCTGGATAAGTGTTAGGAGCATTTGTCTTTGCAGTGCTGCAGGCAGGATGGTGGCAGCTGTGTGTCCTCTGGGCAGGCTCCAGCTGTTCTTGATCTCTCCTCAGTTAGTTAATTGCATGCAGTATTTCTGCCTCTGCTGTGTCACGGTTTAGGGGGAGTACTCCTCAGTTTAGTGCTCCCACAGAAGCTCTCCAAGGCACGCTGCCGCTCACCCACTCTCCGTCCCCTCCCCCTTGCCGTGCACTGGAGAGGAGAATAGGAGGCACAAAAGGTGAAGATCGTGGCTTCAGATATTTTTTTAAATAATTTTAATAATTTTAGTAGTTAATTTCAAATTACTGGAAATGGCACTGAGATAAGAAGAGGAACAGTAAGGGCAACAATATTCATGACAGAGAGTACAAGAAAAGAAATGTTACTACTCACTGTGGAAACCCGCAATAGACAACACCAGTTCTCTCCAGCTTGGAATTGGAGCCATGAGAAACTTCTGTTCCCTGGAAAAGACTCCCTTCCCCCTGCCCCCAGTAATGATGTGAAGTGGTACAGAATAACCTGGGTGTCCTGGCCATGCACCCTTCGGGCTGATGCAAAAAACCCTGCCCTGGCTGGAACCAGGACATGCTGCTAAATTTCTGCATGAGTACTTAGCTTTATAATGTTCTACTCCATCTCAAGAATATATTAGGCATTTCATTTCTTAATTTTGGTATCACAGAATAATTTAGGTCAGAAAATACCTCAAAGATCATTGAGTCCAACCATTAACCTGACCAGTTCATCACTAAACAATGTACCCAAGTGCCACATCTACACATCTTTTAAATACCTCCAGAAATGGTAACTCTGGGGTGACTTCCTTGGGCAGCCCATTCCCATGCTTGACCACCTTTGTGTTGAAGAAATCTTTCCCAATACCCAGTCTAAACCTCTCTGGCATTGGTTGAGGCCATTTCTCCTGTCATTTGTTACCTGGAAGAAGAGGCCAACCCCCACCTGGTTAACAAGTCCTTTCAGGGAGTTTTAGAGAGTGATGAGGTCCTCCCTGAGTCTCCTTTTCTCCAGATTGAGCAGTCCCAGCTCTCTCAGCTGAGTCACTTTCTAGACCTTCACCAACTTCATTGCCCTTCTTTGGACTCACGCCCAGCTTACTGTTATCTGCAAACTGACTGAGGGGGATGGACACATGATCCCCTTGTCCAGATCACTGATAAAGATATTTAAACAGGACTGGCCTCAGCTGAGCCCTAGGAAGCACCACTAGTGACCGACCACCAACTGGATTTAATTCCATTCCCCAACACTCTCTGGGCCATCCAGCCAGCCAGTGTTTGCACCTATCCAAGATGTAAGCAGTCAGTTTCTCCATGAGGATGCTGTGGGAAATGTTGTCCTGTCTTTCATAAACCTGTGGGAGCTGGGAGAGGAGGACGTTTGGAAGGCAGTTGGTGTCTTTACCTGGTGTGGGTAACTTCTGAAATCCAGGTAGTTATTGAGCACAAATTCATATATGGTTTTTGTGCCTTCACTCTCTTTTATCTGTCTGTAATATTGGAATTATCAGATGAAGTTCTTAAAGGGTAGTGTGAACACTGGTTACATCACTTATATTTAGCATTGGGAACTATAGTGTTCAGGATGATTTCTTCTTAATTTCATCCCTGATTGTAAACATTCCTTCCTTCTGTGGCAGCCAAAGGAGGGACCAAGTCCATAATTTTTTTCTTTGTTTGAAATTTTACAACGTAACCTAGAAGATAGGGATGCTCTTGACATAATGGGAAAAATACTCCCTGAAAGCAATCTGTTACAGATTATTCTAGTGAAATGGTCACCTCCATACATGTCAAGTTAGAGTAGGATTTAAGATTTTTTTCTTCTCTGTGGCTTCACTCTCCTAATTAGTCATGTGTAATTTCATATTAAATGATTATTCAAGACCAGAAGTGGCAATTTATTGCTATTTTGAAACAAAAATTACTTTGGAGTTTATGATTGCATATTCTGCAGCTGGATATTTCAATGCCTCATTGCCTCTGTTCCTGTTACAGGTACATGTGACAGCATTGCAGCAATGAGTGGAATTTTAAAGAGGAAGTTTGAAGAAGTTGATGGCTCCTCACCTTGTTCCTCTGTGAGGGAATCAGATGATGACATTTCCAGCAGTGAAAGTGCTGACAGTGGTGATAGTGTCAATCCATCCACTTCTAATCATTTTACCCGTAAGTACTAACTCTCTGTACCTAAAGAATTATTCCTATTTCTCAAAATAAAATAAATTTTATGGTTAGATAAGAATGATGATTTTTAATTGAACATAACATAAACCAGTCTTTCCATGATGTTCGGTTTGTGACTTGCTCAAAAATACTTACTAAAATACTCTTACGTTCTTTTGACTTCTTGTCTGTTAGACTGTTGTAAGTTTGAAGTCTCTTGGAAGCTCCTACCTATTTGCTATTTGAATTATGTGGCTGTTTGTTGTTAATGTTAGGAGTTATGTTCAAAATAGTTCAAGCAGGTACTGTAGGGAAAGTGCTTTAGCTCAATTTATTTTCCTTAGCTAAATGTATTGCAGCTGTCAGCTCTCTGTAATACAGTATTGGTGAGAGTTCTCTAAAAGCAATATAAGCTTTCTTTTATTTGGAACTGATGAATGTTGTGTATGGTAGACATTATTTCAATAGTTTCTATTTTACCAGAGGATATTTCTGTGCTTCGCAATGGTTTTGGGTACAAATAAGAATTTGGTCTTAGGTTAGCAAAGCTATATTTGCAGCATATATTTCTGGGAATGATGAATTTACAGTTTATGTTTGCAGTTTATGATACTTGTTTCAGGTGGTTATATGATTTATTAATAGTGAACTACATCTTCTACAAAGCAGGGCTTTGCCTCCTTCACCCCTGTTGCATTTAGATCTCCTCTATAGAGTTACTCCTTAAAAGCATGAGCCAAGGAGTAGGTGAGGCTCCTCATTGCTGCCCGTCCAGAGCGTGCTCCATGTAACCGAGTGGTGTGGATGTGCCTGGAAATCACGTTTATAGCATGTGATATGAATATTCTTCTGACTGACTTGCCTTCCAGATGCTGCTGTTCAGTTTGAGTGGGCCTTTGGGTGTGAGGGTCTGAATCCTCCCTGCTCTGGTAGGGAATGTTCATGTGCACAGGAGGGACAAACACAACTTTTGACATGGATTCACATGGAACACACTTGAGGTGCTACATGATATTTAAGATGCAGTGCTAGCTGGGGACCTATTTTATTGAAGTGCCACAAAGGAGTAAGTGACCCAGTAAACCTCTTTAGTAGTATTTAGAAATCTAAATTTAGGTTAGTATTCAGAAAATTGTCTTGGGGTCAATACCATCTGCATGCTGCTATATTAACATTTACATCTGTTGAAGAAGTTAGTTGATTATTCATCATAGACTGAAAACAGGCTTTTTACATCAAACAGCCATTCCCACCCACACAGAAGACGACAATTTTATTGTGAATACGTGTGTAGGTATTCAGTGAAAGGGAATGATTCAGGGGACAAACTTGGAAGTTGTAGTACAGGCATAGGCTTTGATTGTAGTAGACATAATAAATAATTTAGTTTAAAGGAACTTCCCTTTCTGTAAGAGAAATGACAGTATTTCAGTGTTATGATTAATGATTTATCTGAGATATTTGTGGCCAGAGTAATAAATGTTTACCTGTGTGTGCACTGACACATATAGAAATTGTACATATTGCATTTTTCTAAAAATATATTTGGGTATATCCATTGACAATATAGAAACAGAAAAAGCAAGTAGTTTGTGTGTGCATTGATAGTATTTTTTAAAAAGTATTGTCTTTAAAATAGATGCCTCAGCCAAAATTCCAAGAAATCAAATGCAGAACCCCTGTTTTACTTAATAGCTCTTGCATGATACTCACCTGAAAATTACATGCACATGGAATGTATACTAACAAAACTGATAATAATGTACATTGGAAGGTATTTGCTTCAGGCTTTAAACTCATTCATCTTCCATAGTAAAAGAAAAGAGACAAGCTTTTCTAAGTTGAATATTTGAATCTAAATATAAGGTTGAGTTCTGTGAGACTTTTTTTCAGTGAGCAGACTGAAAAGAGCCAGTGCAAAAAAAAGGCCAGCGAAATTCCTTGCCTCTGTTACATGCCTGAATACCTCCTTGATGGAGGTTATCTTCCTAAGCTGTTTCCTGACATGTTACACCATTTTCTGTTCTAGTTAGTGAGACACTGTCAGATCCTGTGCACCATCTTTTTTCTGGTCTGTTTTTATATAGGTGAATACGAAGGTGACTATAAACTCTCTTTTACTGATTGGAAAAGGGGGGAGGGTTGTGTGACCTGTAGTCAACATCACGATCTATATATTAATTCTTAAACTGAGAATTAAAAAAAAAATGCTAACGTGGTCCTCTAAGTCTTATTTTTTCTTTCTATTTGACCTGACAAAGAGATAATTCTAAATTGCTTGTACCTACCATCTCTTCAGCACTTTAGAAAGTAGGCATTTTGTATATACAGCCATCTGGCACAGCTGATGCATCTCTGTATTTACACAACCCTTGAAATGATATGTATTGGGTCAGATAAACAGGAGCCTAGCAAGAATTCTGCTCAATTAGTCTTAAAGTCAGTTTAACCTGCCAGCTAAATGAGGCACACAGCTGCTGTGGATCATTCAGGTGGGGCAGAACTACCAGAAGATAACTTTGTTCTCAGCAATTAACCCTGTAGTGTGATGGTAGAAAACACATGACTAAGATGGCCCTAAGTGCTATTGCTTGTGACTATTACACAGAGTTTCTTTAAAAATATATCCATTTAAACAAAGACAGCAACAACAAGAAATTAATAAATCCCTGCCTAGGTTGCAGGCAACTGAGACAGTAAATAAAAATTACAGTCCATAAAGAATAGACAAATTTTAACATTAGCATTTTCTTTATAAGGTGTGTATATTTTTACATATCTGCACATTTTTAAATCTCTTAGCAAATGGTGATGGAGTGCATTCATTACTGCTGGCAGATATAATCCCTGTTGTGTATTTTACTTCCCTTTCTCAGTCCATTGAAGCAATTTCAGTTTGATTCAGCAGGTCATTAGTCATTGCAGATTTACTTTAATGGATGCCAAAGCGTATTACTAGCTAGTCCACATGTCTATCCCATTTCACAGACCTGCCTTCATATCAGAAAGAAGGATGTTCATCTTCAAGTAGCAGTGCAAGCATTGCACATAAAGTATTAGTCAGGACTTAGGCATACATGGGATACAGGGCTGGAGCACTCAAAATGCCATTGGAGCTCCTTTCAGTTGCCCTGTTCAGTTCTGGCACCCCACTGCTGTGTTTCATCTGCTCCACAGCAAGCTGAAAAACCTGGCATTGCTGTTGAGGAAGTCAGTACAACACCTTGACCATTCCTATATTCTGTGCACTGAGGAGCACTGAGTTCCACATTCCAGCTCAGCTGTGGAGGAATATGTGCCCTGCCAGGGAAGGGTAATGAAGCTCGTGAAGGTTCTGGGACATAAATCCTATGAGGAGCAGCTGAGGGAGCTGTGGGTGTTCAGCGGAGAAAAGGAGGCTCAGGAGAGACCTTACTACTCTCTACAATTCCATGAAAGGTTGTGGCAAGGTGGGGGTCTCTTCTCACACACAAGGGGAAATGACCTCAAAGTGTGCCAGGAGATGTTTAGGTTGGATATTAGGAAAAGTTGCTTCACTGAAAGAGAAGTTAAGCATTGGAGCAGGCTGCCCAGGGAAGTGGACAAGTCGCCATCCCTGAAGTATTCAAGAAACAAGTAGACATGGCACTTCATGATGCAGTTTAAAGGGCATGATGGCATTCAGTCAAAAATTATTTTATGATCTTGGAGGTCTTTTCCAACATTAATAATTTGATTCTGTGATTCTCCCTGCTTTGGTGGGGTACCTGCCTCTAAATGCTTGGTGGTTTTTTTCTGATACAGAAGAATACACAAATTTAACTTACAGAATCACATGCAATTGAAATACCTGTGGGGACCTTGTGAATTCCTGTTTTTTTGTACTTTGGTGCTGGTAATAACTCCCTATACACATTAATTACAGATGCATCTCTTAAGAAACATAAGGAGCTGCTGCATTCCTCTGCCATTTCAGCTTCAGTGTTCTGGAGCTGACACTTCTCTTCCTCACCTGCAGAGTCACTTGAGATGGCCAGCAGCAGCAGCTTATCTGAGAAGGTGATCATCACCAACGGGAGGTGGTGCCATCACACGGTCTGGTTGATATCCTCCATCAGTTATCTCTCTATTGCCATTAACATTATCACTGTCATGAGCAAGGTTGTCCTGTGGCCGTAATCACAGGTCCCACCATTCCACTGATCAGGGTACTGTCTTCAGAGTACTTTTGGATGTACTTTGGTTCATTAAGAATGGGCAGGTCACTGAGGGCTTTGAGAAAACCCTTTGGTCTCTAAGTGCTCCTGCCATCTTTTGATTTTGCTGTTAAAGATAATGAAGAATTTGAAAACACAAATACGTCCCCATGGCAGTCCCTTCAACATGCCCTGTAAAGCACTGTTTGAATTTTGTAGAGTTGCTAACTTACCGGGATTGCCTCATCTATGTGGCCATGCATAATGTGAAAGAAAGTGTGAAATCCTTAGGAAGGTGTAGCTTCTTCTGAATTATCTTCATAGAGGGATGAAGTTTTATTTGGTGTAAACTCAATAGCACAAGACACTACCTGAGCTTTGAACTTAAGCTGCATGTTTAATTGCTGGTTAATGATAGAAATCTAAATGAGTTAGAAGTGGTGGTGATGGTTTTCTATGGGAAAACATGTGTAACTAAATGCAGGCATTCATTCCTTTTTTCATGGCATCTTGCAGTTATTCATGTTGTTAGCAACCAGGCTTGGAATTTCCTTGTTAATGAGGAATATGTTCTTATTGCTATTTGTTGACTCATGTTATGAAATGCTAACAGGTTGAGAGGTTCTTGTATTTTATTTCAAAATAAGTCAGCTCATCTGAGCATTAAAAAGCAAGAAATGCAAATAAATTCAATGAAATGTAGTGCAGTGTCTGCACAAACTCACACAGAATGAGAGGACAGGGTATACCATGACAGCATCTCTTCATCTGGAATAAGGAATACTGTGGTGAGAATTGTTAAAAATTGAAGAGGTGTTATAAAGCAGG